GATAACAGTGTTGAAGTGTTGTTTATTTGTGCAGGATGGGAACCCGAGTGCTACCTGTCTGTCAGGGTGTGTTTTTAGCAAAGTTCAGTCGTTACAGAGGAATTATAAACTCAGGCGGAGAGTCTTTAACCTCTCTGCGAGGAGGGTTATGTTGTCTTTCTGTCAGACTGTGAATAAATCCCCGCTCTGTTCAGGTGTCAGGTCAGGAGAGCGTGTTTGTCATTTTCCTCTTGAACTCTCATCATGAGAAGAAGAGACGATTCAGAAAGCGATTTTAAATGATTTCATCATAATTCTTCACTTGATTGAGCTTTTTTTTTTAAAGGGTTAAGAACCTTTGGGTCTTACTCAGGAGAGATCTGGTGGAGACAACTGCAGCAAAAAATCACAAAAAATGACTCAGGGTCTGGCAGGAGAAACTCAGAGTGTGAAAGACGTAAGAGGTCACACACGGACATATAATCAATCCAATGACACAGTGGAGCATACATCAGAAATACAAGACGTGCAAAAGTGGTGATTCCTATGACCAAGAACAAACCCCTGAAATTAGCCATGGAGACTCAATCTTTGCATTAACTGGGATAAAATAATAATTACACTTCTTTAAATCCAAATGTGCATCAACTAACATATTAGCATATGAGTTAATGGGAAACATTTGTGATTTATTTTCATCTTAAAGGAGCAATTTGTCCAAAAAGAAAAAAAAAGGCAAAATGTTTCTTAATCTGGACCAAAAACCTTTTTTTGAGCATTTTCCTTTCCGTCACTCGTCAAAATGTTGCTGATTAATTGTGTCTGTTGTTGTCTTTTTCACGTATTTGCGGGTTGTTACTTTGATTTGCAGCTTTCTCCGGAGCAATCCTCCTGAAATGACCTCGATATTTTCAGGAGTGCGTAATGTGAAAACGGCTTTTGTGATGTTTGGCATCAGTTGTCTCCAGAAAGACTAATGTGATGATCTGTTGTGTGAGCATTGGCTGTATGTTTCTTACCCTGCAGACATAAGGGATCACTTCAAACATCTTGAAACGTCGACATTTACAAAGTAACAATATGAACGTGGAGATCAAGTCTGAAAACTGATTGAGCCTCGATCACGTAATTACATTCATATCTCTCTGAGCGCTCGTTGTGTCTTGATGGTTTCGGTCTTTTTCTGAAACTTATTTGCTGATAATTAAAGTAGTTGAGTGTTGAGCGCGTCGGGCGGGGCCGCTGTTGTTTCTTCTCCGTCGGTCATGAGTGCAACTGATGTCAGTCAAAATAAACAACAAGTCTCGTATTGATTAAAGCCGTTTCCCTCCCTGCCCCGGAGCTATGCACTAATGTGCTGCTATAGGCTTAATGAGAGCAGGAGGAGGCGGCCTGACCCCTGCTCACCTCTGGAGGGCCCCTGCAGGGAGGGGGCCAATCAGTCAGTGACCGGAGCTGCTGTCTTTTCATGTGCAAGAAGTGAAGCCAAAGATCAAGTGAAACTGAGAGAAACGGCTTCATCCCTGTGAGAGAACAAATTTTTTTGGTCACACTTCAGCAGCAAGTGAACATAACCCCGGGCGTATTCTCCTCCGTTTGTTTCAGTGAAGCAGTGAGCAGAACGTTTCTTTCTTTAGTCAACAGTGTCACACAAAACTATTCACAATGTTTCTGTAGTTTTGTTGTTCTCCTCCACCACCAGCTGATTATCTGGCTCTTTAGCTGCCAAATGCTCCACCGTTGCCTAAAGTACGGTGGCCGGTAGGGGTCACACGCTCAGCAACTGATGAATTGTCAAGCACTTAGAAAAACGTGCAGCATATTCAGAAACGCTGCACATTCAAAAGCACATTCAAACTCATAAAAACAATTGCAAAGGCTGAAACGCGCTGCAAGTACAGAAACGAAACTTAAGTCAAAAACATATACATAAACATACTCAGAAAACAACAGCAAATGCAGAAACGCTGCAGGGTCCAACGTTTACAGTGGCGTCGCAAATGTGGGTTCCCGGTGTGTGTGGTGTAGTGATGGGGGAGTTTTGTTATCGCTCTGTTCTCTTTTAATGTAAAAAAAGGGCTAAAAAGACGAAAGATGCTTGAGACAGATTTTGAGAGAAACTGTGGTCTGATGATAATATTCAGTCATGATGTAATGCAGCTCAGACTTCACAGATCAATTTGAGCTCAAATATAATCCCCTCTTGGGGAAAGAGCATCTTATTTTTCTTTTTTCTTCGAAAACTCAATGCAGGCTTCAGTTCACTGCAACACAACGTAAACACAGTCATTGTCAGATGGTAGAATTTAAGATTTTGATCAAAAATGAAGGAAAATCTAAAGTAGTTGCTTTAAATGTTTGGGGGGGTTTACCCTCAGGAACACAGTGACCCTGGCGTCATGCGGCTGAGACGTTTGAAGTGAGACAAAAAAAAGAAGGTCTCTTTCTTCCATCGTGATTTATGAGCCTGATCTTTGTTCCGGTCAGATCGACCTTCCTTGTTCCTCTGATATGAATTCCCCCATGTAAGGCTCGTGTGGGAGCCGAGGTCGCCGAAGGGAAGGGCTGCTCAGCCGAGTGTGAGGCAGAGATAAGTATCGTCTAATTGGACAGGGCAACTACTGACCTGGGACCGAGCCAAAAATTGTCTTTTTTTTTTTTTTTTTTTTAAATCCAAAAGCATCGGAGCAGCTCTCTGTGTTTAAAGCCGCTGCGGAGATAAAAGAGATGGAGCAGACAGAGAGCGATAAATGATAGACTGGAGGGAGACGTGGGAGACAAGGTCAGGGAAAAAATTAAATGGAGAAGATTAGGATGCTGCTACTTTTCAAACAGAACACGTCTGTATGTTTTCCTCAATGAAAAGGACACGTCCCATCACGATCAGAGTCTTAAACGTCAAATGACACAGTGCTGCTGTCAGCGGAGCGGTGCCAGGAAGCAGTCAAAGAGAGGGGCTTTCCACGAATCACAGTCACTTCTCAGAAAAAAGCACTTGTGCTTTGATGAATCAGAGGCAGAAAAGACGATGAGTCCACGTCTAACTGTTTCCTCCCCCCCCGAGGTGAAAACGGAGATGAAGTAGCTTGTAAAGCAAACAGCAGATTGATCTGGTAGCACCTCAGAAGGGTTCACTGTGGTGGTACAACTGTTGACTTTAGTCGCTTTTGAGTCAGCTTTGTGATAGATAAAGATGCTGCTGTTAAACTTGAAGTCTGACACTTTTTATTTTTATGAAGTAAAGTATATAAATATGAGGCTTTCATCAGGTCTCACAACTAAAACTGTCCAACTAGCTGAACTTCGGCTTTTAAAAACCTAAACTAAATGTACTCACCTTTAAAACTGGGAGGAAATGTCTCATTGCATTGGCTCATGGACACTCTGAGAAGCCATTGACGCTACATCCACATATGCTATCTGATACTCCACCATGCAGACGAAGCCATAGACAAACCAGATTTAGAAACGTAGCCGCCTTTCTGTCCAGAGCTCATGTAAAATGGACGTAGGCTCAGGAGAAAACTATCCTGAGGGCTTAAGAGTGAACATTTGACTTTCTGTTTGAAAATAATGAACGCCTCTTTCTTGAGCTGTTGTAATGAAAAAATGTCCCCCATGGGGGATCAATAAAGTTTATCTTTATCTTTCTCTGGGCTTCAGAGGAAATGGACCAACTGGCTTGTTATGAGTGCTCATTTCGTGGCCAGCATCCTTGGTGGTACGGCGGTGCATTAGTAAACATGGCACTGACCTGCACATTTGTTTAGTTCACATTAATGCTGAACCATATACACAGATTTTGTAGGAACATATGCTGACCAGAAGACAACTTCTTTCTAGGGGAGGTTTGCTTATTTCAGCAAAGCAGTGCTAACCCACATTTTGCACGTATCACAACATCCTATCCTCTGTATGAGTCTGGATGATAAACTGGCCTCGACTTATGAAATATCTGGCACATTATGAAATGTAAAATATGACAAAGAGACCCTGAACTGTTTAACAGCTGAAGTCATAAGCATGGGACAACATTAGTTCTCATTAGTCTCCTTAGTTTTCTTTTTTTATTTATCCCTGAGGTTGACCTGGTTTAAACTCTGTTATTGAGAGACATGCTTCTCACACACACAGGCCCGAATCATACACCTGTACAAAAAGGACCTGTGGACACGCATTAGTGGAGAGATGTCAGAGTGGTGCTGCTACACACTGCTACGGGGGGGTTAACCAGGGTGGTTTGGGGTTTGGTACCTTGCTCAAGCAGTACTTTGGTAGTTGCACTGCTTTAACTTCGCTGCTTGAAGTCCCTACGCACTGAGCTGCTTGGAGAAAAAGAAAAAGGGAAATGCTAGTTCCTGAATTCCTGAGTGTTAACAGAAGAGGAGATGCTGCAGAGTTGTTTAATGTGTCGCTGGCATGAAAGGAAACATTGGCACAGTGTCCTACCTTTTTTAGAAACAAGGTTGTATGATTTAAATGACCCTGAATGAACGACCTCTGGTGCTATTGGCCCTTTTTTTACGCTCTTAATCAAAGTTTCTTGAAATTAAAAAAAGTGCATGTAAACACAGCAGGTTGGTTATCCTTCCTTTCATGTAACCAAAGTCAACAGTCATGCGGGGGGAAGGTGACAGGGGAGACGTCATTGTTCAGCGTTGGGGTTCAGGCCCCTCCCTCTCTGGCTCTGAGAGAGTTAATAAGACACTGTTAAGGGGGGGGGGCATTTGGGATTAATGATACTCACTGGATGGGGGGGGCATTCCTGACCTTGACTCCTCACCACAGGGGTTCACAGCAGCCCGGCAGCTTATTTGTGGATGTTATCAATGACCTAAAGACCTCTGCTGATTCCTCTCTTGTCTCGTCTTCTTCTTCTTCTTCTTCTTCTTCTTCACAGCTCAAACCCTGTTCAGATGCATCTTCACTTTTCTGATCCTGTAAGTGTATAAAATGAAACACATCGGGGCGGACGATACAAACACACTAACAGTTTGTGGTTCTCTCTGTGTGTATTCCAGGAAGCTGAGTCTGTTCCCGGCCCTGACCTTTGTCCTGCTGCTGGTCGCTCCTGTCTGCCTGTCGTCCCCGCAGAGTGTAAGTCCAACCTGCCCGCCTCGACACAAGTCACCACAGGGCCTCCGACACAAAAATGCCTCTGCTCTGTGTCAACGCTGCTTTTTTTTTATTGACACTGATGGATCGATTGTCAAACACAGCTCCTTCTGATTTCAACCCCATATTCTGGTTTTGGTTGTCAGAAGGGTTTTGGTCTCCTTCTGCTGAACAAGACATGTTGTCCACTAATGTTTTAGAAGGCATTGGCTATACGAGGGAAAACAGTCCATGTGGAGAGCAAGAAGGGCAGAACTTAATCTGCCATGATGCAATCATGGAAACAATCAGCAATCATCTAACAACGATTTAGCTTTGATTTAGGTCCATAAATGGATATGTGGATGCATGTAAAGCTGATATCTCATCCATTCTCGCTTCTCTGTTAGTCAGATTGGAACCAAAGGAAAAGAAAAAAAGAAGTCTTGGATGGAAGTGTTTTTTTGCTAAGTGTTGGCTACTCCCCGATAAATTGTCTGTCACTCTCTGCGGCTTTTATCAATGTAAGAGGAGAGCTGACAGGTTCCAAGATTTAGAGAAGAAATCCTACACAATTTAAGATGTATAACCAATGAATCAAAACTGAGAATAGATTAATCAAAACCAAAGCAAAGTTTTGAAACTGATCATTGTTTTGATTTTTAGTGCTGCTAACTTCTTTTAAACAAGGATGCAATTATTTTGTGTTATATAGGCGAGGCCGATTACTGAAAATGTTCATCTGACCACAAAAACCGGAGTGAAACAAGTCAAAGAGAGGTGGCAAAATGATTCACGTCTTTTACTTTTTCATTTATTTATAATCAGAAGAGTTTTAGATTCTGGGATCAAGTTATTTATTAATTACTTTTTCTCTGACCAAAACCACTTAAAGCAGCCTTAATTATTTTTGGGCCACTAGGGGGCATAAAGTCCACAAACATATATCAGACCAATAATATCGACATGTTATAGAGTTTTAATATGATGCCGATAGTTGTCCTTTTTTTTTTACACATTAAACGGACATAAAACAAAACGAGCATCAGGGTTGAAAATTACGTTTCATTTTCACATTCAGTTTATGTCGATGATTATTGTTTTCATGTTTAGTCCATCAAATATCAAAACAAACTGACACAAGGACAAAGCTGTTTCCTGGGGGGGGGGGGGGGTGGGGGGGGGGCAGTTTGAGCCATCATGTCAACTCCTGTGTTGTGCAAATATACAAAGCTAATAGCTGAGCGACAGAGTTCGCCATGCTGAATTTACACACAGGAGCCTGTCGGGGCCCGAGGCCATGTTTCCCACAGCCTCCTGCCTCTATGTCTTATTTTTCTTACTTCTGACAGAGTTAAACGCAGCGATTACACTAATTAGCTCAGAGAAAAAAACCCTGCACTCCGGTTCCAAAGAGGAAAATCCAGCTCATTTAGATAATAAACGGAGGTCGGCCCTTTGACCAGTGTCAGATGTGAGCAGGTCGCTGAGGTCTGCGAGCGTGCTGATTGGATTGTTTTTGCAGTGTGTTTGTCCTCTGATGGTATTTTTTGTCTTGGCGGTTGTAATGTTCCTGAAGGCTGCCATCCACTCACTTTCTCCCCGCTCTGATTGCTGCTTCTCCACCTTTTCTCCTCTGACTGCAGCGTCCATCTTCATCACTGTTTGTCTTGTTGTCAGGCCCCCCACCTTGACCTCACTTGAGGGCCGGCTGCAGTGAGCTGACACAGACAGAGAGATAGGCTACCCCAAACATCAAAGACAGGAATGTAGTGGAGGGTCGACACTCTTCAGATCAGTTTTCCATTGTCTGTTGGAAAATCATTAAGTCAGGACTGCAGTGAGGACATGTCACTGCCCAAAAGCTGTTTAGATGTTTGACATTGCTGAGACTTTTTCTGCAGTGAGTCATAAACACAGCTGCAGTGACAGAGTCGCTGATGTCCACATCTGGACAACAACAGATAAAAAAAAAACAAGACAAATAGACAAATCAGATCAAGACATGAAATACAACACTGAGAGCTGGTTTTCTGGAGCGCCTTTCACACACGTCCTGCACTCCTGATAATGAACACATCAGCAATTTCTCCTGATGCTATCGCATTTAAGAAACAGCCAAGTTGCGTCAGATGGAGCCAGCTTTTATTGATAAAGGACGCCTGACTTCCTTTTCCATACAGTGCCTTTGGTTACCCTCCGAAGAAAGCTTAAAGGGGACATCTTGTGAAAAATCCACTTATAGTGTTTTTCAACATATATAACCTGAGTGTCTACCGACCCACAAAATGTGACATAAACCCATTCAGTGCTTTGTTTGTGGTCTGCATAAGTCTTACAACACGGAGAAAAATGCTCCGTTTCAATCTGATGTCACAGTGGGATTCTGGTAAAAAAAAAAAATTCCCTCCCCTCCCCTGGTATCTCCACCCATGGACTCCACCCCCAATCTAGAGCAAAACTTCTGCGCAAGTCCGCCATTTTTATTCTCCCTACAGAGGAGTGATGTCTTCGGGGAAAACTCAGGGGGGGCTCATTACATTTAAAGAGACACACACCAAAACGGAGCGTTCTGAGAGAGCTGGTTTATACAGGGTCACAAACCTCCTCTGGTGCTTGATTCATGTTATATTTTGACCAAAGCACAGCACAGATGTTTCATTTAGACCACAGGGGACTGTTTGAAAAGGTGGAGAAGGGGGATAATATGTCCTCTTTAAGTAGAGAGAATGGATTTGGAGTTAGAGACAACGGCTTAGAGTGGATATTTAGCTGCAGTCACATGTAGAAATATGTTTATAGAAGCTAAATGGTCAAAGGATGATTGCTGATGGATTCTGGTGTTACATTACAGTCATCAACACATCAGCGTTCTCCACACGGACTGTTTCCTCGAATATATGACCGGTGTCATTTCAAACTCCACTAATGTGGAAAAAGATGAAGTCTCTTCATGCAAGGCAAGGAAAGAACATTTCTATAGCACATTTCAGCAACAAGGCAATTCAGAGTGCTTCTCACAAGACATGAACAGCATCACGACGAACAGAAAAAGAAACATTAAATCATAAAAAAGCGTTTAGTCTTAATAAGAAATATGTCAAAATGATCTTTTCTCTGCATATTCAGGGTAACAGTTGAGTTTGCTCTTTTTCAAATTAACAAGTATCAATAATTGTGTGTCGGGTCTGCCAATAATAGTGAATGATTACTATGAGTAATCAGCTCTGCGCTCACACAGACTGAGTTTCTGCTGCCCCGTGTGAGCTAAGCTACAGAATATGTTGGAGACTGAAATAGCATAATTTCTTAGAGAAAAGGCGGAGCTGATTATTTTGACTTTCTGTCTTCACCTGTTGTCCTCATGTTTACTTCAAGGCGGGACGTTTTCCAGTTTGTCTGTCAGCTCCAGCCTCTCTGCTGACTGGGAGAGCTGGTCTGCTGACAGACGAGGAATCTGTTCACTTGAGTTTCGGTTTATCAAACAATGTGTGGACAGTTTCATGTGATATCTCACCTCAGTGTTTGATTTCAGCTTTTTTTTAAAAAAAGGAGTAAAAAGGAGTTTTTTTTCCTGCTCGTGGGCTGCTTGGGGGGGAAGGGTGTGTTGTGAAGGTCAAAAGTCACTTTCATTAATCTTGAACGTCGGCCTGCCACATCTCCAACTGTTATCAACGCTAATTTGGAGCAAAGGTAACGCTAATGAGGGCAACCTCAGGTGACCCTGCCATGGAAAATGATGGAGAGTCAAAACACGGGACACTCTCAGCTGAGAGAGAGAGAGAGAGTGTGTGTGTGTGTGTGTGTGTGTGTGTGTGTGTGTGTGTGTGTGTGTGTGTGTGTGTGTGTGTGTGTGTGTGTGTGTGTGTGTGTGTGTGTGTGTGTGTGTGTGTGTGTGTGTGTGTGTGTGTGTGTGTGTGTGTGTGTGTGTGTGTGTGTGTGTGTGTGTGTGTGTGTGTGTGTGTGTGTGAGAATGTCTGACCAGTTCTAGTCAATGTCTTACAAGTCAGAAAGCCTCAGATAAGAAGAGGCTATAATCCTACAGAAGCATACATACATATATATATATATGTATGTATGTATGTATATATATGTATATGTATATATACTTACATAGTACATGTGGAGATGTGCCTATAAATGATTTAAAGCAAAGCCAGAATATGACTTCAAATGTACAAATTTTAAATACATAAAAAAAGGATTTGGATAAGTAGATTAGGTTTATGTGGAGTATGGAAACTATAGGAAAATGTATCAGAGAAAGAAGGAGGAGCAGAAGGGCAATTGTTTGCTTGATCTTGATTTTCAGTAGAGCCCGACTGATCAATCGGCCAGCTGATAACATCGGCCGATATTAGCGTATCAAGTGACAATCGGTATCGGCTCATTTTGTTCATTTCAGACTTGTGCCGATGTATAAGATCTATTCACCATGGATTGTGGGATATGTAGTTATTTAAGATTTATTTTTGGGGCTTTTAATGCTTTGATTGTCGAGACAGGACGGTGGATAGAGTCTGAAATCAGGGACTGACAGAGACTGAGGAATAACATGCGGGAAAGAAGCCACAGGTTCGGATTTGAACGCGCTGTGACGACTACTACAGCAGCTGCACCCTAACGACTCGGCCACCGGTGCCCCGGTTGATTCTTTTTTAAAGCATGTGCCAAGAATTTCATCTTGTTCGAGCTCTGTGATGATTTTCTGCTCGTCCGGTTTAGTTTTTTTTAGTTTAACTGACCGAACAAATTATGCAAAAGGTGAAGAAGAGAGGGTGAAAAAATGAAATATATACATTTGTACAAGCTGTTTGGTCCTTTGCCATCAACATAATAAATCAAGTATAAAACATGACTGAAACATCAAACTTACACACTCTTCTCCTGCTGTACAGTGTTTCTGATGATAAAGATATCACTGCTGCAGAACAACAGTGGGAAACAAGGACCGGAGGTTTAAGTCATGTGTCGTATTTGTTTTTCTATACATCTGGATTGAGTGTTAGTTGTTGCTTGTACATCAGATTCTCCAGATGACTCCAGCCCGTCCTGTGAGAAAGGTGGTCAAAGCAGTTCTTCAACGTGTGTCTAAAGAGTTAAACGTGTGTGTGAGCCAGCTGCTGTGTGAGAAACTGTTTGGGAACGCTGCCAGCTTCAGTCCTCCTCCCTCCAAGGAATCAAAAAAAAAAAACAACAAAAAAAAAAAAAACTCAGGAATGTGTTTGAGGAGCGCCATTGAGATTTCTCTAATCACTTTTTATTGTCTCTGATGATCCTGATCCAGCAGCAGGCTCACAAGTTTTGTTTTTTTAAAACCATCTACGCTGAATAGATTTATCAGCCTGTTGGATTCTTGGCTATAAATAATGTGGGTGTTGTTAGCCGTCACAGATAACTCCCCTCTGAACACACTTTTTTTCCTTTCACAAATGACATCCCATCATCCTGCCAACACTGTCTTCTCTCCGTCGTCTCTCTCTCCCTCTCTATACACACACACACACACACACACACACACACACACACACACACACACACACACACACACACACACACACACACACACACACACACACACATGCAGGGATTGTGAGCTGCTGACAGTTGCCAGTTGCTGCCTGACAGCTCTGAACATGCAGGCCAACACTGCAGAGTGATGCTGCAGAGTGGCGGAGAGCAGAGAGTCGAGAGGCCTTTATGATGCATCCAAGAGACTCAGAAAAAAAGCCCAGCAGTACAGGAAAGAAATTGAAGTGACTGCTTTTTTTTTTTTTCCACTTCTTTGTCATTGTGTACCCGGCAAAGCTGGAACAACAGGTTGTAAACTTACAAAGAGTCTCAAAGTGACCCTTCAGTATTCATTGTGGTTTTTGCTCGCCCTGTTGTTCTCTCCAAAACACATGGACCCAATTCCTAAAACTTGTAAAAAGTGAATAAAGCAGTATCTTATTAAAAATGTTGTTCTTGTGGCACCGGTATAGATCAGCTGGGAGAGAAGGCGCTTCAAGTACAGAGGCTACAATCGTCGTCGCTGAGTCTCATGTTGACTCCAGATTCTGATGCTGATTGGAGCATATCATTTCACACTCACTCTCCCCCATTTCCTGTCTCTCTAAATCTACCCTTAAAATAAATTAAGGCCAAAAAAAAAAAAAAAAAATCCTTCCTGATGCTCTTTGGCTTTTGCAAGATGTCAAGACACATCTGTGAGTGGAGCTGTTTTTGTGAACTCCTCTGATACAAACAGACATACTCAGTAGATTGAGTAATGAAAACTGGGAAAAGAACCGAGCATGATAGTTCATGTGACAAATCTGAGTCTTACCCTTGATCCTTGTGGGGCCTTCGGGGGCTGTGAGCTGAGCCGCTGCTTGTAGCTCTGTTTTTACCAACATGAGGTGACTAAAATCCTTTACTTTGGTATCATGACGTCAGATAAAATGATATCTAATCGTGTCTAAATCCGAGTCTCGTCGACGTGACATGACATGATTCATTCAGAAAAGATGTTTCTCTGAAAAGTCTGATAGATGTCAGTCTTCAGTCACAACATGAATGAGGCTGATTAAGAAGTTTGATGAGACACTGAACTAAAAAAGGAAGAGATAGGCAAAGATTAGAGTCTAAAAGCCAAATCCTTTTGAATGATAAAATTACGAGGTAGTTCTTGATTCCCTAAATATTAAATTGGTTTAATATGATGAGCGCTGACTCAAGATTCATATGTAACTTTGTCTGTTGCAGAAAAAGCGAGTCAGTCTTTTTTCCCCTGAGAAGATTTTCAGACTTGAAGGAAGGTATAAGCGAGTTCCCCAGCAGGTGTTTATGTTAAATGTCAGTATTAAAGTTTCTCGCTGTGTCTTGTGTGTCTCAGTCCTGGATTTCTGCCTGGGGTCCCTCCGGTGAGGTCTCATCAGGTCGTCTGACTCGAGCCCGGCGGCAGCTGCACTACAGGAACGAGTGGGCCACATGGAGCGTCTGGTCCGAGTGCTCACGTAGCTGTGGGAGCGGAGCCTCTGTGAGGACACGCACCTGTATCACCAGGTAAATACACTGAGCCAAAACCATACACTGTATAGAAGAGGTGAACACGATGTATTGGTTTATGAAAGTGGAGCAAATGTGGAAAAAGCCGTAAATCTTTCTGCCAGCAGGGGGCGACTCCAATGCTTGTAAAAAGTAGTCCTCTGGTGTGAAACCAAAGGTGGAACCTACTACTACAAATAAAACATGTCCCCATGTGTTGCTGACTCATCCCTCATGAAGGTCTTGTTCTCTGCATCACAGGAACCCAGTGGGTGGACCATGTGCAGGAGATCCCCGACAATACAAGATCTGCAACACCAAGGTCATTTCAGCCGAACGATCTTCACACTGCATGAAAAATATCAGAACAATGGCCCGTGTTTGCATTAGAAGTTGGTCTTTAAGGTGTGTTCGTGGGGAGGTGCAGCAGACGGCTTTCAGGGCGTGAGCTGGAATTTCACTGACATATTAACCTGTGTCCTCGCTGCACTGCTTTACGCTGAACTCAGGGAATAAAACAGCCAGTTATCAGAACCTGCCACTGAGATAGAAATGTGCTGTAAGGTCAGCAGCTGTGTTTGTTCTTGACAGGCGGTGAACTATCAACTGTAGTAACAAAGAAGAAACACACAGATGTGTTGCAAATTGTTCAAAGGAAGAATGTGTGACTTTTTGATCCAGTAGATGTCGCTCTTGAGCACCAGCATGAAACCAAAACAAACTGCTGTTTGTCCACACTTCTGCTAATCTGAAGCCTCCGCTCTCCTCCAATGACACACCTCTAACCCCCCTCCACTTGCGTTCACACAAAGGAGTTATCAATTAGAACGCACCATAATTAAGCACCATTAAGCTCAAATGGGCAGATACAAACATACAAACAGACACATGACATCCAAATAAGCAGTGAGTATGTTCTTCTTCTTTTCTTTAGTCCTTGACTGAAGCAGCTTTATACACAAGGTCGTCCCGTCCATGTAAACACGGCTCTAACAACAACACAGCCAGCGGGACTCGAGCTTCTCCCTCATTGTAGACAGTCATGACTCAGAGACACATTCACACAGGATATTCTTGATTTCTGCTGTATTTATGTGTACAATCTTTTCCATGAAGCATGATTTAATGTCACTTATTTATCTTAGATATAAAAATGGAGTTATGCAAGATTTAAGGTTCGGGTTCATATTTTTCTTTGGGAGGGGTTTGATGGTTGAATTTGAGATAAACGTCCAGGGAATGAATGTAGAATATCCACAATGCAATTTATTATCCTAACATGATGTATGTGTGTGTGTGTGTGCATACAGGTGTGTCCACCCAACTCGGAGGACTTCAGAGAGATGCAGTGTGCTGCCTTCAATGACCGCCCGCTGGTGGCTGGAACCTCCTTTAAATGGACGACCTTTCATGGAGGTCAGTGAGTCTATTCACAGTTTTTTACAAGGTTTTCTCAGCAGTGGTTTGTTTACAAAGTAGTGAATCCTCACCGTTTATTGGCAACAGATATTTTTGGATTAAACCAGTCGTGTCAAAGAAGAAAAGGTGCAACTAAGTCCACTGTTGTTGCTGCTGAAGAACAACTGAAGGAATCTTGGAGGGTTTTCACACCTAACCTTTCTGCTTTGGTTAAAATGAACCTGATTCTGTTAGCCAAGTTAGTGCGGTTAGTTTGTTCTGGTGTGAAAGCTGACAATCTAACCCCGGTGCCGACCAAAGAGCCGTACAGAGGCCGCTTAAAAAAGGTTGGTCTTGGTCTGCTTTTTTTTCAGACTCTGGTACAGTTTGTTTGTAGTATGGAAAGGAAAGTGAGCAGACATGCTCTTCCTCAGACTTCATCCAGCACCCACTGAGGGATGTGCGTTTCTTTTTCGATTTTTCCTTTTGATGAAACGACGAGCACAATCCGAGAACGGCAGGAAGCGTTGCACTTTTTTGGATTATACAAGCCACCATAGACACGGCCCGTTCTATTAACCACTGCTGAACATGCGTCAAAAATCACAGCCAGACCTCTCAGATGGATCTTCAGAAACAGTTTTGGGGGGGATGAGCAGGTCATGGTTCAGGAGGATTAAAGTGCTCCTTCTCCTGAAGTGTCTTGATTAAGTGCCTTTGACTCCAGGACATCCAATGTATTCATTTCAAGACACGGTTGCATCTCATTTTCAAACTGTATCATTTAGCTACAGTGATTAAAAAAAACAAAAAGCGATATAAAAACCACTGAGCAGATCCAACATCAATCCCTGTAGTGTGTCGGTCTGTAACATGTAAAGTGTCTTTGTAGCAGCCACAGCCAGACAGGAGTCGACTTTGGTGGTGAAGTATCATTTGTTTGTTTCTGCCTGTGCCTATGTTTAATTTTAGTAACTGTGTCGTTGTCAGTCATGTGGTTAAGGTTTCCTGCTGCCTCTGCTCTCGTGTCCCCTCAGAGTCCTGCAGGGTGTTAATCCTCATAAGACTGTTGATGTTTTAAGTTTTCTCTTTGACATCTGTTTAGCTTCCTGCCTCCTCTCCCAGTCTCACTTATTTCTCTTCCCCGTCACTCTGTTTCTGCCTCCCTGCCTGTCCTTTTATTTCCCATAATAAATAAATTAATGAGCCACTGACTGGAGATCTTCCCTGCAGGCTCTAACCCGTGTGAACTGAGCTGCCTGGCCCTGGGTCACAACTTCTACTACAACTTTGGCCGAGTGCTCGACGGCACAGCCTGCGACAAGGAGCCCGGAGCCGTGTGTGTGAACGGACACTGCCTGGTGAGTAGGAACAACAGTGTGTGTGTGTGTGTTATTCATGTGCTTATTTTAGAATTACTTTTAAGATGCAGAAAAACAACTCCACAACTCACACGAAAACATGAAACATAGCAGTCCTCCAAGGTTGCTGTATTTTGTGTCACTTCTAAATGTTTCAGTATGAAACAGTACATTCTGCTGCTGTTATTTCCATTTCCATCTATATTAAAATGGAAATAATCTTCAGAAAAGGTAAAGGGGCAATAATGGATTTGAAGTGTCTAAAAATGTAAATTCTGGTCGGCGTTTTTTGTTTTGGATTTTGAAAATTTCAAAAAAATCAGAGAATCGAAAAAGACCAAGTCCTTTGAGTTTTCTGTTGTATCACTACACTGATTTACACAAGTCTCCTTTTCCTGGAAAGTTTTTTTTAAACTGGCCTTACTGGGTGCTTCAACTATGATAACTGGTAAACTGTTAAATGATTCCACATTGTGATGGCTCTGTACATGACAGATCTGCACACTGCTTCAGTCCTGTGGTTTTTGCTGAACTGGTGCAGTCAGTCGGTGGTTGTTAAAAACACACAGGACGTGTTAGCTCAAACATGCTCCAAAGACAAAAAGGATGAATCTATAAGATATCTTCAAAAAAGTCCCTCACTAGGATATTAACTTGCACTCTTCCTGTTTTCAACATTTTCCTTAACAACAGACGGCTTTCAGACCAGGGTGTGAGTGTTAGTATGTGATTTGGTTTCTCAAATTGAAGCTCCACGTTGCTTTTAAACATGAAGCTACTTTACTCACATTTATTTTACTGGTTTTAATTAAAGGGTCTGTTTTGGAGAGGAGACCTCTATATATATTTTATGCCTCATTAAAAATCCTTACAATGAACACTGAAGGGTCATTTTCAGACACTTTTTTGTACAGTCCTACAGCCTGACATGTTACATCTTCTCCAGCATCGCAGATTAGATTTGTGAGTTTATTCCAGTTCCTTACAACAAACTCAAAGGGGGCGGTTTTAGTACTTTCTTCTTGTTCTTTTTTGTACTAGAGAGGAAGCCGTCTAAGTCGTCTTGGAAGTGATTGGTCAGTCAGAGAAAGAAAGGGAATAACTTCCAGAACCACATCCGTCTGAAATAACTCCTCTTACTTCCGTCCTGATTCTCATTTGAACATGAGGCTGTGTTAAGCTGAAGTTCCTCTCTCTCTCTCTTGCTCTTCATTCCCACCCTGTTGTGGTGTAAATGATGTTGACCACTCTGACTTCAGCTCTCTGGAGAAGTGAGCTCCATGCTGCGCGTTAGGGCCAAGGTGCACTCATCAGTGTGGACTGCAGCCTTCAGTTAGCATTACAGCTCTGCTCAGCACACAGTCCACAGTCCTGCTCCCCTCATCCAGGCCGTCCCTGCTCACCTCCTCCTCACCCCCCTCTTCACCCTCCTCACACAGATGGGGAAGGTTGGAAATGAACTTGTGTCCCTCTGGACCTGCAGGACATTCAGATTAACAACATGCATGTGTAATACTCAGCGGTCACATCTGCTACATGAGCTACACTTAGAAGAGGAGGTTATTTTTACACCACTTAGAAAGGGATTAATGTGCGTCTGTGTTTACATATGTCTATATATTATGTTTGCGTGTGTGTGTGTGTGTGTGTGTGTGTGTGAGAGTGTGTGCTAACGCGTGGTGTAAATAAGTGGATTTATGGACTCAGACTGAGGTCAGAGGAGCACAGGGTCTGAAACAGGAAGCAGATGCAGCGTGCAGCTGGTGTGGGGAGCTGCAGGTCACAAGCTGAGATCAGACTGCACAACGCATGGCCGCTGTGGAGAGTGCACACATGTGTGTTTGTTGTGTGTGTGTGTGTTTGTAGATATTTGCTTTTTCTCAATGATGGTGCAGGGATTTGCTCAATCAAGCAGCTGTTTCATTCTGCTCTCTGACCACATTGCGGTCAGAAAACTCTTTAAAGATATGGCATTCATGAAAAAGCGGAGAAAATGGAGATGTCTCGATATTATTTCATCAGGGAAACACTCCAAAACCCCTTCGTATGGTTTTAGTTTTTGCTTAGTTTAGTATCAAACTTTATTGTCATTGCATCACTCATACTACAAACGCAGCCCAAAGTTCTTTATGATTAGGAGTATACGTCCACCAAGAGCTTCACATGAAATGAAACATGTAGACTGTGAGATAGCGATCTAAATATTATTCAACCGTTTACAGCCTGGTTACCAGTTCTGTGAGGCTGTACTCTACTGAATGGTAATGTTGGCATGAAAACATATTCATGATGACAGTACCTGCATGCTGGTGTCAGCAGAAAAAAGTCTGACCAAGAATATTCTGTTAGCATGTCAGCATTTTATAAGTAGCACCGCTGAGAATTGAATTTCTTGAGTTATTTTTTGTAGGATTTTTTGGGGGGGTTTTATGGCCTTTATTTAGTTAGGACAGTGGATAGAGAATGAAATCAGGTGGAGAGAGGGGGCGGGGGGGGGGGATGACATGCTGGACTAGACTAGATCTGCAATTTTGACTTGAACCCGGGCAGCTCACTTGAAGGACTACAGCCTCTGTACGCTGGCCACAACCTTATACCGCTAGGCCAGGTGTTTTATTGTCGACAAATGAATGAAACACATTCAAATTGTTAAGCACTGCTGATGGAGGAAATGTCAGAGGATCAGGAGGTCATACTGATGATCAAGGGAGCTTCATTTTACTGCAATCCCCCCAAAAGAGCTGTCAAGATATTTATGAAGATGTCAACCTCTGACGTTATAAGAATTCCTCCTTTACTTTCCTCGATGGATGACTAAAACAGCAAAAGAAATGATCATATCTTCTGTAACTTAAACATTAATTTCACTGACAAATAAATACCTTTCACTTCAGGATTAGTGTAATCACATACCTGAAATTGACAGTCAGTAGCTGCTCCAAACAAACCAGAAGAACAGTGAAGTCAGTGAAGAACGTTTGGGACTAAACCCGTTCAGATGCACCAACCTGTAGTTTTAAAGCCTTATGGTCTGATGGTTTTTCTTGCATTGCTTGAGTGTTTTTTGATGTTTTGCAGCACCGGGCTCTTTCCCTCAGTGGGGCCCTCGTGCACATGGCTCCTCTGTCACCGAGGATTCATTTCCTGTTGTGCGCTCACAGATGCTGGGAGTGTTTTTGTGTTTTTTAAGGGGCTTAGGGGGCCGATGATTACAGGGTCCCTAGATTGCTGCTTTCTTTGCCGGGGAACCTCCCACTTGATTGGTTTGCTCTGCAGAGGGAGTGATGAAGGCTGGAGAAGAGAAAAACAAGCCACTGTAATCTATCGCGACAAGATTCTCCTCACACCATAAACCACAGAGCTCGTCCTGCATGCTCTTTGCGTTGGCATTTTAACGTTTACTGAGGCAACTCTCGTCCTCTTTTTTTGGGCCCTGCACTGGCTTTATATCCCCGCGGAGTCAATGTTTGTGAGAAGGAGAACATGACGCAGAAAAGCAAATAGTAGAAGAAGAGGCAGAGTGGACTGAGTTGAGTTATGGCAGAAGATTTAAGGAGGCTGCTGAGAGGAAACACAACAGAAGGAAAGGTTAGAGGTTGCCAGGACGCTGTCAGAAAATGTGTGAAAGTTGGACTCAAGTAGGATCAACAAGTCTCAACTGAGACTTTCAACCAGAGGGATGTAGTGTGTTACACATGGATAAAAAAAACAATAAACCTCCTGGCCAAAATCTGTTTAAATGATTTTACCCTTTAATCCTGATTCCTAACTTGTGTGTTTGTTTGTGTGTCGTACAGAGGCCCGGCTGTGACTCCATCTTGGGTTCGAAGCAGCAGGAGGACGCCTGCATGGTGTGTGGAGGACAAAACACCACCTGTCTGCACCACAAGAGTGTGTACCAGAGCAACGGGCTGGAAGCAGGTAGGACACACACACACACACACATACACACACACCCACACAATCATCACACTGTCTCCACAAGGAATCAATTGCTGCAGTTTCAGACCAACACGATCCAGGTATAAATCCCTTTTTGTGGTTTCTCTCCAAAGCGTCATTAGTCGGTCCAGTTCATTGAGGAGCTCATTGTTCTCTGATAAACCAAGCGTTCGCCATGGTTACAGTTTTTTGCCAAACAAAACCTGCTGGCTGTCGTCCAGGAACACATTCAGCAAACAACAGGTCCTCCAAAATTACAGTGGTTAAAGATTTCAGGAAGGAGGAAGAAGAACGGAGAGTTCTTCAGGCTCCAAATGACACTCTGGCTCAATGCCACAAAAACATTTTCCCTCTTCTATTAGTACCTGTAGTTCAGAGGTTAACGCACACAGTCTGATTGTTCACAGCAAACATGTCAGGAGGAGGGGAAATCTGCAGGGTTTTCTCTCTGCACAGATCAAAGGAAAGAAACATTACAGGCAAATGGCATATGAAGGCAGCATATCTGCAAGTAGGTTAAAAAAAAGTCATAATTGGATTACAGTCCAATCAAATAAGCTGGTTCTCAAAATGAAACAAAACGAACATTTGCTTTTCAGGCTGTAGAGACACAGTGAAAAAAAACGGAAAAAGTAAAGCAAAATAATGTTACTGGGATTGTTTTCATTTTTGCTAAAAATAAAGAAACCTTAGGCCTTGTTGAATAGACAGCAACATGTTTAGTGTTTCCTCCTGACACCGCTCACACTGCTTTAATGTTGTACACTTCTATCAAAATGTGTATCATTGGATCATCATCAAAAAGCGCTCACCACATTTGAAAAACCATCTGTATCAGGGTTCATCTGCATCAGGGTTCATCTGTATCGTCTTCTTCACTCCACTTAGGCAAACTCAAGACTCGCCAGTTTAAAGGAATCGATTATTTCATGTAAATCCGTGCAAAATGTTTCTGCCAACTCTGCAGCGGTTTGCCTAAAGACTGAGAAAGAAAGAGATGCAGTGATGGAACCAAACGTTGTCATTGTACAGTCTTTAGCTTTGTGTGTAGACGGACGTCCGTGCAGGAGAATGTCATGATTGTAGTTCTGGAGCTGAATGCACCGGCTGGGCTTTAAAGAAGTCATTCTTATCGCCAATGTCCAACTAAGCTAAGACCGACATTACTCTCACACCTTTAAGGATCTCAGAAATGTCTTCAAAAGAAACACATTTTCTTTGTGCTCATGAAAATGTACACGACTGAAAGTATAATAACTTCAAGTTTTAATATCTTCTGGAATGAAACACTATGTTTTTACGTTCAGAATGTGCTTGTATTAATTTGTTTCCTGCGTTTATACACCAAAATGATCAAAAAGAAAGTATGATTTTCGTATTTCATGAGTCAGGAGGACACAATTTTAATACTTTTTCTGTATATGTTCTGCTTATTAACCTTCAAGTTTAGGTTGAAATGATCTTAGGGATGTGCAGAATTTAAAAGATGCTCCAAGAAATGAAATCAAAATCAGACTCATTTTTACAGCAGACTTTGGAGGGTTGAACATTTACGCTCATGTTAATCGTGGAGCTACTTTGTTTTTGTGACTGTCAACATGAATAAATAATCGGTTGAATGGTGAAAATTCTGTGGAATTCAGGGAGTCAACACATGCAGAAAGTACAAACACCTGTGTGACTTGGCTCAGGTCTCTGTTATGTGTGCTTCCTCTCCTCGCTCTGTGCTTTTGGCAAAGCAAAGAGTCGGCCATTACGGCTCAGATTGAGCAAGAAGCAAACATGCTGATAATGGTTGCTTTGTTTGGGCGATGTCATCAGCCTTGGGAGGTTTTCTCTCCTCCTGCAGCTGTTTTTGAAAAATGCAGGGAGAGAACCCATGAAGCGGCTGCATGGACTTCACTCCTCAGGCGGTGAGATGCAGCCGGCCTTGAACGCTGCATCGCTGTGACTTTGACATTCTCTCTTGTCACTGGATCTTCATGAAGCTAATGAAGCAGATGAAGCCTGTGCATAGTTACTCTTTAGAGCGGGTAAACAGGGGCAACCAAAGCGCTTCAGAGGCCGTTATAAATGGAGTTCATCCTGCGGACACTTGTCACCCTTGAACAGCGGGAGAACCACAGAGCTGTCGCAGCCTCACAAAGGTGAAATATGGCTCTGTAATGAATGCTCCTGGTTTCAGCTCATTCATAAATGATCCCTCTATCTGCTCATTAACCCATCCTGTAAACCATTAATCAAAGTGAACCATAAATGACATCATAAATACAGATTGTTTTATAATGACAGGCAATAAAGACTCTAACAGCAGCTGACAGTGTTGAACAATATCCACTCAAAAGAACATTATTATCTGATTATTTGTGATTACATTTCTGTTTCTGTTGGCAGATGATGATTCAGTGTGCTATTTAAAGATTAACCCCCAATAAGAAGGGCAGAGTACAAAGTGAGAGCCTGCAGCAAACTGTTAAATAATGCGACCGCATTTCTCAAACCAGCCGAGGTTTAATCTTACTGTTAAATGTCAGAGACGTGCAGCTGTTGTTGGAATGCATCCACAACTTCCTGAATATACAAGAGCCTATTAATGAACTTCTTATTTAACAACACGCTTCAGGTTGTTCTGATTTGAGCTGCATATTTACATCTATTGTATGAGCAGCTTTATTAAATATTCAATGATAACCTCATGTTCATCCACTCAAAGATTTATAGAACTTAAAGGTCCCATATTCTCCTCCTCTTCAACTAGTTTGAATAAGTCTCAGAGCTCCTTAAAAACATGTGTGTGAAGTTTCTTGTTCTAAATCCACTCTGATCCTGTTGATCATGCCTATAAACGCCTCTATTTCAGCCCTGCTCAGAACAGGCTGTTTCTGTGTCTGTACCTTTAAATATGTAAATGAGCTGTGTCTGACCACGCCTCCTCTCTGGAAGGGCTCGGGGTGTCTCGGGCTTTCTCGCTCCATGTCCTATTGTTTACAAGAAGGCAGACTCAGAGGGCAGAACAAACACCTAGCTGTGGGAGTGTCACCCACCTGAGGGAGGGGTTACTGCCCTTTGTGATGTCATGAAGGGAAAATCTCCAAACGGCCTGTTTGAGCACACATTTTCTGAAAGGTGGAGCAGGCAGAAGGCACAGAGGATGGACTTTTCTCATAGTTGGGGGGTTTGTAGACAGACTAGGGACACATACTAGTGTTCGAAAAACACGGTGAAGTGGATTTTGTATAATATGTGACCTTTAAAGCATCATCTTGTGAATGTATTTCCATCAATCAATCTTTATTTATATAGCATCAATTCATAACAAGTGTTATCTGGAGACACTGTGTCTGTTAATATGCAAACCTGGAGAGAAGTCCCAGCTTTGAGCTTTGAATTAAGATTGCACGATTCTTCTGTATGTGGCTTATATTTAAAGTTTTGTGTGATTCTCACACGAGTGGCTTCGATTAGGGAAAGAGCAAGTCGTCAACTTAGATCAGCGAAGGATCCGCTCTTTCAGTCTGCATGTTGAGGTGTACTTGGGTAGAAACGAGAGAACCGCACCATCTGTGTGCGCTCTGCATGTCTCTGTGTGTGAATGAGCTTTAGATTAGATCCCAATGAGTAGGTTGGCACCTTGCACGGCAGCCTCTGCCATCAGTGTCTGAGCATGTGTGAATGTTGGCATGTAGTGTGGACTGCTTGAATAATCAGAAGACGAGATAAATGCAGTCTGTTGACCATTTTCTCTACCGCTCTGTACACCTTTACATTGTTAACTTAACCCGCAGTCATTATAGAGGTATCTGAACCTGTCATTGAAATTAAATACAAGTTTAATTGAACGCAGCGAAAGTCAGCGGTCTCTACTTTTAGTTCATATCAAGCTTCACTTCCCATCATGCAGCTTGATAGCATATTATGGCAGAAGCTTCAGTCCGCCTCATTTCATTCTAGCACAAAAGTTACAGTGAATGTTCCCCTTGAAAATCCTTCATCTATCAGGCTCTGCTGTTTAGGATCACAACAAGGGATGTAACTTCTCTTACTCACTACAAAACTTCTCCAGAGATACAGGAGACACGTTACAGCTGTTTGTGACAGGCCGTGTACTCCCTGACATGTAGAGTTTGATAAAAGGAGCTGAAGGAGCACCTCTTCAACTACAAAGACGAGATATGGCGGACTGTGTACATAACTTCTCATTTGCTTGTCTCACATCTGAGTCCTGCGGTGTAAACTAAACTCTGGGAGGCATCTGTGTACTTTAAAGATGAACCCGCTATTATCTCTGCAAAACTTTTTATGGGATTCATTTTACAAACTCAATGTTCACCTACATTTAGATTCATATCAAGCACAAAAACTGGACTTAAAGTGCCACATTTGTATTTTCTCTTCCTCACTTTGTTTCCTTTTGTTGTAAAAATGCACTTAGTGCAGCGTTTGTGTTCCAGGTTGTATAAAATGTCCTTTAATGATGTGAAGCATTTTAAAAAAAGAGGAAATAAATGAACAAGTTAATCCTCTAACCGAGTATTCCTGTCTGCCAGCCGGACCTTTTGGATACAACGAAGTGACAATGATCCCGGCTGGAGCCACTCACATCCGAGTCACAGATAACAGCAGGAGCTATCTCGGTAAGATTCAGCCTCTCACACACACACACACACACACACACACACACACACACACACACACACACACACACACACACACACACACACACACACACACACACACACACACACACACACACACACACACACACACACACACACTAACACAGCTGGTCTAGCATGTGTATCAGTTTGTGATGACTCACTTTGCGTCACTGTCTCCATAGCTGCCGAGTACATCAGACATTTTTAACTTAAATTCTAGACTTGCTATCACTTCCTAGCCCCAGAGACAAGACGGGGATCAGCGGTCCCATCTGGTCTCTGGATCAGCTGTGTGTTTACCAAGCAACAAAATAACCAAGGGCATCTATTCTCATCCTTGTTCATGAGATCAAAATAAAACCGGACCCTGAAATGGGGCACGCTGCGGTCTTGAAAGTGAAGCTCGTAAAGCTGCTGGGGCGAGGCAGGTGAAGGTGCTTCTTGTTTCCATTTCATGTCATGGAAAATCCCTCTCTCCGTGCACTGAGGAGAGACAGCTGCCTTATATAGACAGCTGGAGCTTTTCTGTTTCAGAAAGCCTGCTTTTACCTCAACATGACCCACTGATAGGGAGCGCTCACTGCTGGAAATTACTTAAAAGTTGAATTGATCGGTATCTGAAATGCCTCTAAAACTGCTTTAAAGTCAGTGTTATCCCAAAGTTTTCCGGTCAATGCAGCAATTTGATTTTATCACTATTAGGTCCCCAGAAGAAGACTTTTTTTCTTCAATACAGTAGCTATGGTTTCAACAATATGGCAGCAGCTTGCAAGCAGCTAAGCTCAACAATACACTGCTACCGTAAATGTCATCATAAGTTTTTCACCATATATTTTAAGGATGTAGTTTGAGATTGAAAGTAAGGCCAACATAAAACAGTAAAAACACAAAATAAAGTATTTTAATTGTGAAAATCATTGTTGATCTGTCACACTAAAACATGGGACTGCTACTCGATAATTTAGCTAGTTTCCATTTGGTCAGATTATAACAGTTCAAGTATTTATAACTTGTGGTAAACACAGAAATGTTTTCATGGTCAATATCGGGGTTTCTCAAACACTCGAACACCAGGAGAGGCCCAATTTCTTGCTAATATTAGCATTAGCTTGTTTCTCTGCGTTGCGCCAGATTGCTGAATTCAAAGATGCAGTAAATTAAACCCATAAAAACACAAAATAAACCAGGGTTTCTCTGAAGCTCTGTGAAAAACACAGGACATCAGGAGGGGCTGCTAACCAAACTGTAGGCTAACTATCATTAGCTTACCTCATTTCCAGGGGTTTAGTTGAATCAAAAGCTGCTATAAATAAAACCCATAAAAACAAGCCAGGCCGTACAACAATGATAGCCATCATGTCACATCCACACTGGGTTATAACAATGATAATAGTAGCATATGTACAGTATATATATTATTATTATATTATTATATATTTGCCCCATATTATCAGCTCTGAAGTCACTGAACTTTCTGCTCTCCTCTTTCCTTCAATCCTCCCTCGTGTCCTTTTCCTTCTTCCCATTGCCGTCTTCCCTCCTCCAGCCCTCCAGAACGGTCGCTCTCAGTTTGTCATTAACGGTAATTGGAAGATCAGCATTCCAGGGGAGTACAACATAGCCGGGACGAAGCTGCTGTACCGGCGCTCGGCTGACACCTGGGAGAGCTTCGAGGTACCAGGACCGACCCAGGAGGACCTCCATCTGATGGTGAGACACTGGACCCTGACATTTTGATCAATGTGAATCTATAGGCATAACATATATTTTTGTGTTTTATTGATCATCATTGTGAAACCTTTCTAAAGTTTTACTTGTTTGAACTCAACTCTTTGAAAACTGTTCTCTTTTATTGAGAGCATTCTGGTAGGTCTGTTATACCATTTTTGAGCCCAGCAGGCAGGAAAACCTATAAAATAAAAACACGTTCTGCTCTCCCTCTTATACTCTTGCAACATATGGTTAAATTAAAGCTAATCAGCTTATAGTTAACATTGCACAGGCTGATAGAAACATAAGGTTTGCATGAATAATTGATTGTTTCCATCCAGCCTCTGTGCAGGAATTTCACAAACAGACCTGGCTCAGCTAGCAAACATATGTGAGCTGCTGCCTCCTCGTAAGACACGGTTAGAAAGTGAGTCTGCTGTTGGATGTTTAGTGAAACGTTTGTTGGTTGAAAGTAACCTCTGAACACTGTGATCGATGTGTCTTCTGAGGAGTCCTTCATAGCAAGTATAAGAACAACAACAGCACTCTGGAGTCTGGTGTTTGTGTGTATTACCAATGACTGTTCTAATACTGGTGTGAACTCACTTATTAAGCTATGACTCCAAAACTATTTGTTGGATAACTTACTAAAGATTGATTTTTGTATCTAAGGTCATACAAGCTGTTGCAATCTCAAGCCCCATTTCCACCAAGTGGTCTGGTTCAGTTCGGTTCGGTAAACATTTATTGGAGTTTCCACTGTTAAAAGTTGGGAAATACTGATCTGTACCATCCTACTTTTTTGGTACTCTTCTGTTGGGGTGCCAAGCGTACCAATCCGACCCTTAAGGCTGGAGCTAGACGCAATGCAGTCTGTTGATTGGTTGAAATAATCTTCACTTCCCAGCGGTAATACAGGACAAACACAAAACGCACCATGCTTAAATACTTTGTGGATTTGGAGAGAGTCATTTCAAGGCTGTTTTTGTTTTTTGCAACTATTGTGATCGAGTAGCACCGCCCCATGGACGACCTCAGACATGCAGACCTTCCTAGGAATCATTGATCTTTGTTCACTATGTCCTGTTCTTCTTCTTTGTTGAATTTATTGGCTGTCTACACTATGTCACACCTATGTGATTTAGTGATGTGTAAGGGTATGGTTGGCTGTGGAAACACAAGTGAAATCAGTACCAAACTGTACTGAGCTGAACATGACCACTTGGTGGAAATGGGGCTTAACATGAATTCAGTTAGAAAGCTGAACTTGAATCTGTTGGTGTGCTTTGATGAGGTAAATGAAGGATCATTTTGTAAGATGTTTTTTGTTTCTGTCCTTTCAAACATCCAAAAGAAAACATAGCGTTTCATCTTCTCTCTTGCTGATCCTGAAATCTGTTATTCATATTGTATCAATGAGCTGAGAAAATGAATTCAGGGGATTGTTTGATAATTGGTTGAATGGCTGAATCGCTGTCGCCTCACAGCAAAAAGGTTTGAATCCCCAGTTTGGACAGGAGCCTTTCTCTGAGACGTTTGTATATTCTCCTTGTGCATTGGCAGGTTTTCTCTGGGTAGTCTGGATCTGTCCCACAGTCCAAAGACATGCTCCATATGTGAATTGGTGTGTCTAAATGTCTATATGTGTGAGTGAGAGTGCTAATGGTCAACACTGCGATTGAGTGGCAATCTGTCCTGGTTGTACCTCACCTCTCGCCCAGTGACAGCTGGGATTGGCTTCAGACCTCTGCAACCCTGAACTGGATTGGCATTATAGATAATGGATGGATTGATGGATGTTTGATGATAGCTCTTCTATGTCTATCTAGGTTAGGTTTATTTTGTCAAAAAAAAAAACTGCAGTTTTTGCAGATCTTCTCAGAGTCTCAAGAGGGCTGCTCAGCCCAGCTGCTAAATCTGTTGTTCCTCCAGTGTTGTTATTACCATAGTTTTAGTATGATTAAAAATGTATCATAACCTTTCCAATCCAGTCTAAAAGTTTCCATGCTGCTTGTGTGCAGGTGCTGGCCACGGACAGAAACACAGGGATCGAGTACGAGTACTGGCTGCCACCAGACCAGTACGCTCTGTACCACAGGAGTCCACTGCGTGAAGCTCACCACACGGCTAACTACCTCCCCTGGGATCAACCCATCACTACAACCACCACCACCAACCCCCCTACTACAATGAGCACCCGACCTCCTCCTGTCACCACCCGACCCCCCTGGTGTAAGTCCTGCTTCTACAAATTAATATGTACACTCCTGTGATCCAAACTTGTGTGTTTGGCTTTAATGCATTTGTCACTTTATTAAAGGTATCAGCTCATTACTGGGACAGAGAGACGTGAAAAATGATGACAGTGCTCGTCTCCTTACTCTAGTTTCCTTATTGACTAAGATTTGATTTTAAAAACTCTGCCCATAAGATCTGCTCATGGAGCCCTGGGGGTTTCTCTCCGGTGACAGTTATCAGACTTTTGCCACCACATTCCAGATGATTGCTGACACACTAAGTCTCTAGCTTTTGTATAAATCCTCTCTTAAGATTTGACTCTTGTTGAAAGCTTTTGGAAATGTTTGACATGTGTTTTTTATTATTTTTTACCGTTTTCATTTCCTTGATCTTCTCCACGTTATGCTCTCGACCTCCTCTGGGCTCTTGGCTTTCATTTATCTTTTTATCAGCCTTGTCTGGTTTGATTTATTTCTTTTAGTGCAGCAGATTTTAACACTGTTGAGTGCTCTGTAAATAAAATGATTATTGTTATTACTAATAATCATGGAGCATCAGCTTATGAAGAATGAACTTCTGTTCAGTGTGTTTTTTAAACTTTTGTTAGAGTGACTTATTAAACCAGGATCAGCAGTGAGTACATTTTATCACCTGAACACAAAAAGATTTTGTCTTCAGTTGGCTGCAGCACTGATAATGTGGAGAAAGTTTGAGACTTCATTCACGACTGTGTTTTAGATACGGTGCTCCTGCTGATATATATAAATATATTTTAAAGATTTATTTTTGGGCTTTTTGTGCCTTTAATGGAGAGATAAGTCAGTGGATAGAGCTGGAAATCAGGGAGAGAGAGAGAGAGTGGAGAATGACATGCAGGAAAGGAGCCAAAGGTTGGATTTGAACCTGGGCCGCCCACTTGGAAGACCAAAGCCTCCACTGCGCCACCAGCTCCCCGCTCTTGCTGATATTAAAATGCTTGGCAGGTCTTATCTGTCCGTCACTGATAAAAACGTGAAAGGACATTTTTTTCTTTTTTTTTAAACCAACTGGTACAGAAAACTATCAGAAAATAGAAGCAGTTTTTTGCCGTCGGCACGGACAGTTTCTCCTGCATACACAGACGCATGCTGTTATGTGATTGGTCGATCCAGCTCGGACGACAAACTGAAACCAGAACACTTCCCGTGCTGAACATCCAGACCCCCTTGTACAGATTCTTCTTCTTTCTTATGTAGAATCTGTAAATAGAGATTACTGAAGCTGAGGAATGTGACTGCTGTACCTCTGTTGATAAACCTGCAGTACACATGTGCTGAATCTCTCCTCGAGCACCCACATTCACATGGGAATCTCCACACCGCCTGCAGTCCTGAGCCTTCTGTCGGAGTCCGTCCAGAGCTGTAATAAATCTCAGTGGCCTATCTGGAAGTGTTTCCAGCTGATGGATTAGTGCCAAACAGAGTCGTGTTGTTGCCAGAAACTGTGATGATGATGATGATTGTTTGTTAGGTAACACTCAGGTCGGTGAGTTTAGTCAGGAATGATCATGTTGACCCCGCTGTAATGAAATCCTTAACGGGTTATTTATTTACTTTTGGATACTAAATATTTGTTTGTGATGCCATTTCATGTGAGACTGAACCGTTTGCACATCACAGTCTGCTGTTTTTATTACCCTCAGACCAAAATATCTAATATATCCAATATTGGATATATATAATATCCAATCCTCTTTTTTTTTCAGATTTTGAAAATTGCGGATGTGTGCAAATGATTTCTTCAGTTTTATGTCTTTACAAAGGTGGTCTGAGTTAAACTTTGGCACCAGTGTTGATGCTTGGACCTCAACTGAATCCAGGAGTCTTAAAACTGCAGATCTTTATTTAACATTTTTATGGATTTTATCTGTTTGGATTTAACTATTTTGGCTCGTGTTTTGTATGTGGCTGTGTTTTTGTTGAAAACTATTCTTTTTTTATGTGCATGCTGCTCCCAACCACGTTATTGATTCATTGGATTTATAAACCATAAAGTGTAATAGCAGACATTTTACAAAAAGATCTGAGTCTTCTCATTTGTGTATGCCTAGTGAGTCCACATGAGGAAATTACAAAAATGTTATGTTTGGAAACGATTACTTGTAATCCTTAATGTTTTAGATTTTTTAAAAACAAACTGTTGTTTCTAATAAGCTCCACGAGCAGAAACGTGCTCAAACTATGATCAATATTGGAGATGCTTTTGAAAAACGGAGACAGGTTAGAACACAGAAAGGTTTACAGACCGATGCAGAGCTGGATAAACACTGAAGCTTCAGAGTCCACCACATGGCAACCTGTGAGAGGATGGACTCTAGAGAGGAGGGGGGTGGGGGGAGACAGCTCTCTATGATATTTAGAATTTGGACTGCAGTACCCATTTTAAACACTAGGTGTCAGAGTTACATATTGCTCCTTTAAGTTATGTCTTAAAATCATGTAAGCTCAGTTTGGAGATGCTGCTCAGTTTGATCTAGACAAGTTGTTTAAATCATGATTGACTCAGAATTCTGTGATTGTGTTCACTAGACATAAGACCTGTGAAGCCTCCACGCAGAGCTCCTCATCACAGCCGCCATCCACGCCCCAGCCAGCCCATCCTGCCCCGCCTGGAGCGCGAGGACAACCACAGAAACCTGCTGCCTCAGCCCGCACCTGGAAGTATGTTCACCTGTTCACTTTCTAAACTCACCTAATGCCCCAACAAGCTGCATCTGGCTAACATACCGTCGGACTAGGTTTGGGAATCTGTCAGTATCTCACAATTTGATTTTGTTTCTCGGGGCCATCGTTCGTTTCAAAAATGATTTTCGATTCAAACCGATTTCTGGTGGTTGGGCTGTTTTTTGCATATTCATGCGAGAGCAAATTGACCCCCGTCTGCATTACCTAGTTAGTCCAACTTTGAGATATGTGACTTAGTAGGATTTCAGATCAGACTAACATGTTTATGTGTATTTTTAAACGTCCAAACTAACACAATACATTGACTTTTTTCAACATCATGTAAACGTCCTGAAACAACAGAAACAGGCAGCAAAGGGAGAAGCCCCTGTTGCTCCTGTCAGCCACTGTGTACTTATTTTATTTTCTATCATGCAATTAACTGTTGAATAAATTAGCAGCAAAGTTAAGAAGTTGTGCTGATCTTTAAATCCATCCGGGGCGAGAAGTTTTTCACCAGCCTTATGGACATTTACCTTTATTACAATGAGAAAGACAGCAAGCAGAAGGTGTTTTTTATAATCTTATTATTATAACAGATCTTGTTTGTGTTTTGTTTGTTGATCAGAGCATTGTGGGAAATGTCCGCGAGTCAAAGGTCGAAGGGAACGTCAGAGGCAGTATTGCCAGAAGGACTTTGGTGAGTCCTTACATTTTGTAGAGTTGCTGTTTTTGAACAGCTTCTGACAGAACTTCAACATGTTTGAACTGAAATGTAATTTTCTGTTTCCTGTTAGTTTTCCGGGGCAGAGTCATGGGGAAGCTTTACAGAGGCGAGGAGACGCGTTACGACGTCCAGATCATCCACACGTACAGGAACGGCTACCGCCTGGAGCACCGGGAGTTCTTGTGGGTCCCGAACGTGTGTGACTGCCCCCACCTGGAGGAAGGCAGGCAGTACATTCTGATGGTGCGTCGTCACATTAACCACGAGCACACGTTAAACCGCATCCTGCTGGAGGAGGACAGCTACGTGGTGCCGTACAGACCCAGAGAGGATGAGCTGCTGCGACCGCTCGAAAGACTCTGCAGCAACAGAGGACGTAAACAGCCTGAGGACCTGAGGGGCTGAGAAACAAACCGTGTGTGTGTGTGTGTGTGTGTGTGTGTGTGTGTGTGTGTGTCATAGACTGAAGCTCACACTACAGCTACATTTACTCCCAGTGTTTCTGTTCTGATGAATTCCAGTGAGGCACGACTCCAGGAAGAAGACATCTGGACCATAGAGAGACGGTTTCAGCCTTATTTTGAACCAAAAAGACTCGACTCGTAATTTAAAAAGCCTGAGCAGCTTACTGTACCTTATAGAGCACTTTAGGTGGAGCTTCTGCTCACCTTTAAACACATACCAAAGAGAAGAACATTGACTGAAATGTCCTTTTTGTTGTTGTTTTTCCCCCCACTGTTGCCATGTCATGTTTTGTATTAGTGTATTTTCTGTGTGTCTGTGTGTTCAAAGACTAAAAGGAAAAATCCATCTCAAATAGTACAATAAGGCCCTTTGACCACCTGGCGTTTTTTGCCGAGCAGAAAAGCGCTGGCTGTACACTCGAGAGTCTCTGCATGAAGCGTTTGTGCTCTGAGAAAGAAAAGCGCTGCACATCCGTCCTGTCTCTATGACAACAGTCGCTGTATGACCAAGACAGCGCAGTTACTTTTCACTGCATGTTTTATATTTAAGATCGTTTTTTACCCCACCAGACACGGAGCAAAGAGGATGTGAGTACAAGATACGATCCGTAGGACGCTAAATTACAGGGAATATTATACATTATTTATATATACATGTATATAAAAAAAGACGGGGTGGGTGCTGCGCTTTTCATCCAGGCGTGCTGCTTTCTGCTGCGAACGCTCTCTACCCATTGAAACCAACTGAAAAAAGACGCTGGCGCTGAGGAAAAAACACGAGGTGGACACGGGGGTTTTAGATGCACAACTAAGTCGAGTTTCAGGTATAGCTTGATCCCGGTAAACAAGCAGAGGTGCGAATAGATTTAATGACTAAAGTATGTCAGACTCTACTACAGTAGGTGGCGATTTGCTCCCTTTCAGCAAGCAGCTGTTTGACCTTCTTCCGGTTGATCTATTACGTCACATACACCAAACAATCGACCAACATGTTAATAAGCTGCAAACTGTTTTCCGTCCATCCATGATCTTCAACATGCTTAAGTCATTGAGCTGAAAACATAAACGACATAAACTGTGTCTCCTTGTATGTCCAGAAATGCATGATTCTCGCTCTAGCACTCACCATGCTTTCCCCTCCGTCTTGTTTTCTTCGGCGTATTTATGCTGTACGACTTCTGAGTCAAAGCTCGATGTGAGAGCTGTTGAGCATGCTCAGAAAGCCTCGGCCAGTTTGGGGTCGATTAAGGTGTATACGGAGGTGTAAATCAACCTCCAATCACATTATGGAGGTGTGTTAGTCTGACTTTGACTCATCAACTTTTCTCTGACTGCATGTAAAAGTACTGATTCTAAATCAGTACTCGCCACTTGCTGACTGTCGACTGCTACATAGCTGCCATTTGACTCTTACTGCCAATTTCCACAAAGTGCTTTCCCTCAGCGCCACGGTTTTGCTCTGTCGGACAGCGAGCACCCTGTCCCAATGGAGCCGTTTTTGGAGTGTGAGCGCAGTGTTAATGTCTAGAAATATCCATGCCAGATTCAAATCAATTCCAGTAAATTCTAAAATAAACTTTCATCACAAAAAAATCATATTTAGATTGTTTAAAACCTTTTTGGCTCTTCTATTGTAATTTCATGATGCAGGGTTTTCTACGTCAACGTTATAATAAATAAACATCTTGATTACTTCTACACTTTCAGTAAATAGACCAAAATATGTATATAATACGATCCTTAAACAGCAGCCACACACATTGAGCCAGGATTAAGAGGTGGATTTGTCTTTTTAACTCCAGATATAGTAACGACATATTGCTCCACAACGTAATTATCTTATCAAATAATTAAGCTTAAACCACGACACATAACTTGTGTGTGTGGGTCACTTATTTAACAATTTTCAGTGTCTGTATTTGTGCTGTTATTATTTTTTTATTGTGTCTTAAATCTGGTCTGCTTTGTGATACTTTATTTGAGAGAGATCTACAGTATTTTATTGTGTGGCACTGATTAGCTACATATATACTGAACTATAAAGGTTGTTGTCAATAATAAGTTACCTTCTGTGCCTTGTGTTCTGTATTTGAAATATCACATTTTACTCTCAAACCTCGTGTACGTGTGCCAAAATAAAGCCTTTGTACATTTGTGCCTAGATTGTGCGACCCACTCTTCTTTATATGATGTTTATATGAGTTGTAACTTTAAATTAAAGCCAATTAAACATTTATTAATTCCACCATGTTCCTCTAACACTAATATGTGTCCCTAGTCCGTCTACAAACCCCCAAAATTAGGAGAAAAGTCCATCCTCTCCGTCTTTTGCCTGCTCCACTTTTCAGAAAATGTGTGCTCAAACAGGCTGTTTGGATATTTTCCCTTCATGACATCACAAAGGGCAGTAACCCCTCCCCCAGGTTGGTGACACTCCCACAGCTAGGTGTTTGTTCTGCCCTTTGAGTCTGCCTTCTCACCTTAAACAATAGGGCATGGAGCGAGAAAGCCTGAGACACCCAAGCCCTTCCAGAGAGGGGGCGTGGTCAGACACAGCTCATTTACATTTAAAGGTACAGACACAGAAACAGCCTGTTCTGAGCAGGGCTGAAATAGAGGTTTATAGGCATGATCAAATACAGGATCAGAGTGGATTTAGAACAAGACACTTCACAGACATGTTTTGAGGAGCTCTGAGACTTATTTAAACTTCTTGAAGAGGAGGAGAATATGTGACCAGTGAACAGTTAACACAGGGGCTCCAAAACTTCTCAATGCCAAGGACCTCCATATTGCCTTAGCCTCTGGTCGGGACCACCCTCTTACTAAATTTCTAATTTCTAATGATTTCTTCCTTTGCACTGATGGCAAATATTCACCTTTCTTAAAATTGCCACTCACTCGCGGTTGCTGAAATCTGACTGGATAGAGTGTTGTGCATTATTTTTAAATAGAAAAATTGGCACAATAAAAAAATAATTGTGTTTCTTGTTCCATTTGACCCCTACTTTCCTCCAAGTTTCTGAGATCCCCCTTGTGCCCCCTGGCGACCCCCTGGAGGGTCAGGACCTCCACCTTGAAAAACACAGATTTAACAAAGCAGACATGACAACAGCAATGTTTGTAAGAAAACAATGTAATTACAAAAGAAGCGTCACATCTATAACAAACAGAAACACTACACCAACCTGCAGATAATATAACTCTATTCATATTTTATTTTGCTGAGCCAGTCTCCTGCTCATTAACTGTGAGGAAGTCATCACAGACCCTCGGCTCAGTGTCCCATCAGGAGAAGGGGGGGGGGGGGAATAGAAAACAGTCCAAAGTCCACATACAAACATAAACATGAACATAAGAGGGAATAAAGGGGAAATCTTAGATTATCAACACAGTTCCTCTCAGCGTCTTGCAGACATGACGTCTTCATCTGAAGGCATGAGACAGAAGCTGCTTCTATCTCTTCTGGACGTGAGTGCTATTTCTTTTTTTTTTTAGCACTCTCGGTTTCAATCTTTTAAAGTTTTAAAAATTTTTGTCAAAAATGCGTAACAAAATGTAAACAAGAAAGAATCCCACAGAGACAAGAGTGATGTACTGTAAAGCAACATAACACGACTGTGTGTTAAAGTGAACCGGTAGCTTTTCGGCCGCTCAACCCCTCAAAATATCTTGGTGTAGGTGACATTATTGCTCTATGCTTAGAAATAAAAAAAGAAATAGACTGCAGCAATGCAATGCCCACTGAATGATTTTAAAATAGTGTCGTCCCATACTTTTTGAGTTTGCTCTGACTCCATAGTTTTCAGTCCTCTCAGCACTTTCTGCAGCACGCAGCAGAGCAGTCATTGGTCTGCTATAGAATTAGTTTACAATGTGTAATAATCAGGGCAGTCAAACAATCACAATTTCAAATCGAGATTAAGCGATACATTTCAATATGCCGTTAATTACATTTTTAATCGCATGTTTGAAATTCCTTTGATTGGCATTGAAAAATGTTAGTTTTAAGACTTTTATTTTTGAATGTTTATACTGTATTAAGCTGACAGTACTTAACTTCCTGTTTGAATTCAACTCTGCTTTTATTTTGAAATAAAGTACGGACCTTCTGGTAGATCGAAGGTCACCACATTAGCTTAACTTAAGGAAACAGGAAATGGTTAGGGATCACAAACTGAGGTCAAACAGCTCAAAGGAACGGTAACAAAGGTCAATGTGTGATGTCATAGGTCAGTGTGTGATGTCATAAGGTGGATATGACTTTGGACTCGTCAGCTGAGCTGTCTGAGAGTTTGTTAAAGTGAAATGAGACTTTCAAAGGTGCAGCAGTGTCCTTCTTTTACATCACTGAGACTACAGGGAGACAATGAGTATGACTATCTACGGTGAGCCTGAAGGGACAAACTAGCATGAGATTAATCGTGGTTAAAAACATGTATTCATTCATTTCAGACCCTAATTCATCACGATTAACTAGTTAATGCTCACAGCCGTAGTATTAATGTTACATTTAATCATGAAATTACTTTAGAAAGCAGCTTTTTTGGAGTATGTCTGCAAAGTCATGTTGTAGAAAAATCTGTTTAATACCAGTTAAATAACTTAAGCTGCGGTAAGATCAGAGTAACCCAGTGCACACTAGGCGTGTTCAGACTTTAAGGTTTAATGCATATAAAACACTGAACACAAACACAGGGGCGGCTGTGGCTTAGTGGTATAGTAGGTCATCTCTCAACCTGAAGGTCAGGGTTCAAGCCCCAGAAAATCCTGCAGCTAAATGTTTGATGTGTCTTTGGGCAAGACACTTTACCCTGATTTTATCCCAGAAATGAGTTATTGGGATTAGTTACTTCTGATGGTCACTTGACATAGCAACCTCTACCATCAGCGTGTGAATAGTTGTGAATGGTTGAGTATGTGACATGCGGTGTGAAGCGATCATTTATAATAATATGAGCTGGATTACTCTGGTCCTGCTCTAGCTGCACCCTGGATGAGTAGCACGGCTGTACACAGGGCACCCATCGACCCTCAAATCAGCTGCCTTATCTTTTACTACTGAGTTATCTTACAATCAAACAACATCGGCCTCCTCTTAAACCAGTGTTGGGCACAAATATCAGTCTTCAATATCAGTGGAGTTCCTCCTTAAGAGTGAAGATCAAAAATATTTCTGTCTCAGTTGAACACATATTTTATGTTGAACTTTTGAGAACATATATTTCTGTGTAGCTGCCTTTCAGTCGCTCAGTCACTCCTTCTGTCACTGAACATTTAATAAGTAATACTTATAAAAACAATTATACACAGAGAATCATCTGCTATTCTAAAGACCCTGGACGCTTCAGGTTTCACTTTAGAGACATGAACAAATCTTTCTTTGGTTTTGGATGGGAAAAAAGAACCAATCCTGAAGCTCTCCCGCTCCGAGGTAAAAGAAGATAAAACATTTATGAGTGAATGAAAATATTTAAATGATTATTTTATTTTCTGGTTTGTTATTGCATCACTTAAAACGACACTCTAGCGTTAAGTTCAGTCAGGAAGACTATGATTTGCTTTCCCGGTTGTTGATTATTTCTCATTCATCCCTTTCATAACGTGCTAACTGCTAAATCAGCCGTCTCATCAGCTGGTCTCATCCGACCAATAGGGTGGTGTCTCAGCCTCATCGTCTTTCTCCTTCATACCCCTGTTGTGCAGCTCACCCCTCCACCTCCCCATCTCCGCCCAGTCTTCACAGAACCGTCCATCTGGTCTCAGCAAGTCCTCAAGCCCCCACCAGCAGCACCACCAGTGTCCAGACTCCACAGGGGGAATGTATCCTGCTGCAGCTCTACGCAGTCCTCCAAACATCACAAAATCTCTTTAATAGTGTTGGGTTAAAAAGTAGTACTTCACTTATGGATGGCTGTGGATCAGTGGTAGTCAGTCATCTCTCAACATGAAGGTTGGGGGTTTGATCCCCAGCTCCTGCAGCCACATGTCCGATGTGTCCTTGGGCAAGACACTTAACCCCAAGTTGCTTTGAGTCACCAGAAGACTAGAAAAGCCCTATACAAGTCCATTTACCTTTTTCATATTATGATGGATTGATATTTTATTACTGAAACTATTTACTGCAATAAGTTTTATTACATCATATTTTGTATGTCTCTCATATTTACTCTTTTGAATGGAGCCAAACGTTTATACCCACACTCTGAGAGACAATAAACATCTTGAACATTTGTTCTTTTGAACGTTGTTGTGGGGATCATCTCTTGTTTTAAATGTTTGATTTGAGACTTAAACTTTGGGTTCAATAATCCAAAGTTTTCTGTTTCCAAGCAGAAAGATTTGTTCATGTTCTCACCACGACCTGCCCCGCCTCAGATCAGAAGAATAACAGAACTGTCAAATGTTTGCCTCTGGAGGAAATATTACAAATAAAATATTTTAGAATTCCTCTTCTGGTATATTATTAAAAAAAATCTAAACATGCATTTCAAATAATACTACAATAAGAGTAAAAATGTAGAAACGTTTCCATTTGTTCACCCACTTACTGTAATCCACATCATAAAGAGAGAGAGTCCACTTCTTCTGATCCCTTTGGCAATTCATACTGTAAGTGTGTTTCCAAACAACATCCAGTCTTTGTTTGTGGTTTCTGTTCATGTTTGTTCCTCCTGTGACATCAGGTCTGTATTCAGGTCTTCTTTGTTCATTAGGACACGGAGCTTTAAGCCCTCTGATTGGTCCTTCTCACTGCTCTGCAAGCTCTGTAGAAATCCATTCCTGAAAACCCCCTCTCACAGGTGGTGTTCAGAGTCACCCGACCTCCGACCTGCTGGCCCCTCGCAGAGAGTGTCAGACGCTGACGGATACGTGACGGGAGGACGCCGCGCGGCGTTTGATGCGCGAGCGTCGAGGTCTGGATTCAGTCTGACAGCTGCACAGGGGGCCGAGCAGCAGCCACAGGTAGAGGATCACACAGGCCCAACACGACGACATCTTCACCCAGAACGTAGACCAGCTGCCGTGGGTGAAGGTGGTCTCCAACACTGCTGACTCATAACTGCAGGAGGTAGAGCACAGATTAAATTCATCTCCTACACAACAAGATAGTGCCTATAGAAACGGCTCCAACATAAGGATGAGGAGGGAACATGATCATATGTTTTCAGGAATTCAAACTTTCTGACGGTGTTTAAGACGGTGGGAAAAAAAAAAGTTTCCAGCATCGTTTTAATCTCACTTTCCTTTGTTGTTTTTTTCTGCAAAACCAACAAAGGAAGGAAGTTTTTATCATATGTGAAAATGATTGTTTTGTGATGTGCTTTTTTTTTTGATCCTGCAAACTTTGATTGCTACCTGCAAAACTTGTTTCAATACTTGAACAAAAGTTATTTGGAAAAATTTAGTAGTTTCTACCACATGTAGGGCCCAGTGGCCTAATGGATAAGGCATCAGCCTCCGGAGCTGGGGATTGTGGGTTCAAGTCCCACCTGGGTCAATAATACCACATCTATACAGTCACCTGACTTCCGTCATTCCTACAGCCCCAGAAAGTTTTAAATAATAATGATAAATCCAAACATCATTCACTGATGGAAATGATTTGGATAAAGTGAGACGATGCTAGCTGAAGCCTGTCTGTATCAGTTGTTAAGCTTAAATCGCAGGAGAAAAACAACTCAGATCTGACTAAATGAACGTTTTCTGTGCCATGCTGAGCTTCCACACATTACAGAGGCAAGATTTCTAAATCATGCACTTTTCCCGCTGCATGTTTGTCTGTTCTCTTTGTCTGTTGCGTCTGTAGCTCGTCAGATGATACTGATTATAAACAAGGTGCACCTGGTCTTCAAACTCTGAGCTGATATCAGAAGACAGAACCTGTTGGAGTGAAGACCACCGGTGGTTTTTGACTCCAGGATGTGGATTTTGTGTTGCTCTGTTTTGTTAATGTATTCCTCAGTTGATTTTATGTTTGAGTGATTTGTGTGCCAATTAATAGTAAATACCACAGATTCAGTAGTTTGAA